ACCCCGACTCCAAAAACAATTTGCAGGAGGACGATGCTTTGATACTTGATGTAAAGGGAGCTTGCTGAGTGCACTAAGGTGAGAGGGTCCGTGGCTCTGAGTTCACAATGGCCAGGCTGCAACCCAGGCGTTCAGCGGCTGGTTGTACTCACCACTCGGGAAACTCTTTCCACTCGATCCACCCTGAAAAAGGTGAAATCATCATGTTCTGTTTTATATTTCTCAAGGGCTTTGTTGGCTAGTTTTCTGTAGGGCTCAGTATCTTCAAAGAAATCCAAGAGTACAGGACTGTCTTTGGTATTGGTCAGTGCTGAAGAGACTGGAGAAAGAATTTGGTAGTCATTCTATTGCAGGGTTGAAAATGGCAACATCCATGCTTGGACTTAATACATAGAGACATGGTGGCAAGAATAAAAATTACAATCACATCCAATTTACAGATGGGCAAAGCTAGATTAAACAATTTATTCTAGGTTAATCCACTAATTAAGCAGCGTTCAACTCAAACCTCCATCCTTTTGATGCCTAAACCCTTGTTGTGATCTCTAATTTTGATGCCTCTCAACCTACAGGGTGTTAACATGTTAATGAACTCTTCCTGACCCTGCCCAGGAGAAGGAAGCATTATTTTACTTACAGAGAAGAGAAAACTCAATTCATTCTTTCTTTAAGGCTACCTCCGAAGAGGTTGCTTGACTGTTGAATTTTTGTATTAAAACATGTTGAAAACAAAAACCAAACTCATTGTCATTGAGTCAATACCAACTCATAACGACCCTATCGGACAGAGTAGAACTGTCTCTTTGGGTTTCTGAGACTCTTGATCTTTATGGAAGTAGACAGCCTCATCTTTCTCCTGTAGAGCAGTTGGTAGATTCACACTGCTGACCTTGTGGTTAGCAGCTCCGTGTGTAGCCCACTAGGCCACCAGAGCTCCTACATCATATTGAAGGTTACTATTATAAAGTAAATTCTCACTTAGTTTTGTGAAATATATATATATTTAAAATCATAATTCTTGAAAATTAAGAAAGAAGAGCAGGGGGGATCAGGTCTAAATTGCAAGGTTAGATTTATGTGTTTGCCACCTCTTGGGTGTATTCCCTAGACCAAATTGGACATCTTTGAATATCAGTTATTGCATCTCTAAAATAGAAATTAGCTTTACTTTATATCTTTGCTGGAAGACAAAGTGAAATAATAGATAAATAACTTTTTTGTAAACTGTGTTCCCTATGCAATTATTAGATATTGAACTCAGAATTTATCAAGAGCCTGGTGCTTCGTGAAGATTATTACATATACCATCTTACTCAATCATCAAAATGGTCTTGATGGCTAAGACTATTACTGTCCTCATTTTATAAAGGAGAAAAAGGAGGCTTAGAGAGTCAAATTAACCTTCCTAAGAGCACACAGCTATTAAATTGTGAATTTGTATGTAAATCCAATCAAGTCAGATCCTAGAGTGCAGCGATGTATATTGCCTCTTCTGCATTTCTATTGTTATATGCTGAATTTCTGGAATAGGTATACTAATCAAGTCCTAATCAAGTCCATGAGAATAGGGACCACTTCTGACAAGTACAATAGTTGATGAGTGTTGCTGTTTGAATTCCATATCAGTCTAGAATGAATCAGCAATTTAACAGATGGCCATACCAGAACTTGTGGTGCAGTTAAAGTCATTCACTCTAAGGTCCAGAGATTCATTTGAATGTGTTGTAGCTATAACCTTACAGTGCCCAATCACCTGTGAAAAAGAAAGATTTTCTGTCATTATTTACTGCTCTCATTAGGTTGGATAAGAGGGAATGCAACATATAATGCAAAAAATAATGCAAAATATCCCTACTCTCTTTAAAAGTTATTTACTTTACATAGGCTCTCATTAAATCTGCTCTTAAATTCTGCATTTCCTAAGTCTGTTTCTGAGTACTGAATGCTTTAGGTACTCAAAGACCCTCCTGGGAACCTGGGAGAAACTACTTAAATGGATTATGACATATTCAAAACATTTTTGAGGGAAATTTTTGATAAAACTTCCAGGTGTATAAATCTCTGATTTTCTAAAAGGAGACCTTCAATGTGTGCCTTTGTCCACCTTGTGTTCTCTGGCAGCTGCCTGGTATCCCAGTCCCCATGCCCAGTGTGCAGAACAAGCGCTTAGTCCTTCCTGAAGCCGCGTAGACCCCTTTGGTTCTTTCTACCTTTGGGGCCAGGTCTGGTAGGATGCGGGTATAAGCTTATAGCTTTTTAGAACAAAGTCTTTGAAGGCTAGAAAGAACATTAGAAACTCCTCTTAGTTGACAGGAGAGGAACCCCAAGTTGAGAGTCGTTAGGTGACTTGCCCAACATCTCAGAGGTCGCCATCCAAAGCAATGGGCCCTCAATTACGGCTCTTGAGATATTCTTACTCAACATCATCGTAGCCTTAATGAGGCAGGAACTTCCTGTGCTGTTTGGCTCTGTTAGCCTGAGCATTTTGGCTCCCCTGGGAAAGCTGAGTAGGCTGAATGACCAGAGGAGGGGCTATGCTGTCCTGGGTACTTACTATTTCAGATGGGCGCCTTGTAGCTGCTGGCTTACAGTCATTCCAGTGTTTCCTTGATAGGACCGGACAGTCAGTTTCACTTACATCTAGGGCTAAATAATAGACAACTGTAGATTCCTGAGAAATAACAAGAATGCAACAGTAAATAGCACGTGGGAGACCAGAGCTTTCGTCAATGAAAGCAATTTCTTAAAGAGAGCCCCTGCTTCCTTCCAAGGCTTTGCAGATTCTTCACCTTTATGTTATTTGCTCTATCAAACGGAATAACTAGCTTCCAAGAGTCACGGTACTGCTTTTGCCCACGGGCGTTAAAGATCTAACACGACATAGCAGCGTGGGCTGGGAGGGCTGCCAGACACGAGAGCTTACATTCTGAGTGATGACAGTCATCCTCTGGCCACTATGCAGTGACGCCCTTATCCATACTTGTGGTTCTATCTCCTCATCCAGTTCTGTTCTTGAATGTTCTTGATTTCATTTGGCTTTCGAACAAATTCCAAGGCTGACTTCTCTACATTCTCTTTCAATTCAACTGCTAAAAGCTTCCTTTGTCAGTGGCACTGTTAACTATTGCTGTACTTTCTGACTTAAAAATGTGAAGCCAACTTTGATTTCCTTGCTTTCATTATCCAGCCAGTCACTAGGTCTCACCTGGCCTTTCTTCAAAATCACTCTCGCTCTATTGCTCGTTCTCACATGGCCTGATTCCCGATACTGTGCTGTGGTGCTCATTGCCTTGGCCCTGAATGCGTGAGAGCTTCTTAATTCATCTCCCCTTTACCTGCCTCTGCCTTCCCAGGTACATTGTCTGTCTCCCACCCTCCATGCCAGCACTCCAGGGTAGCACAGTGCCTATTCACCCTCGTGTCCCGCAGACGTGGCAGAATTTGGAAATGGTTCTAATAGTCCCTAAAGTGCTGGCTGAATCTTACATTCGTACACTCCCAGCAACTTGCCATGCCTTCTTGCTAGTACTTTGTTGTTAACAACAACCAAACCCACTGCCATCGAGTAAATTTTGGCGAACAAACAAGCAAACAAACTCACTACAACTGAGTCAATTCTGACTCACAGTGACCTTATAGGACAGGGTAGAACTGCCCCTTTGAATTTCTGTAAGTCTTATGGGAATAGAAAGTTTCCTTTATCTCGCTCAGAGTGGCTGGTGGTTTTGAACTGCTGGCCTTTTAGTTAGCAGCTGTCTGAGTAACCACCACCCCACCAGTGACCCTGCACAGGATTTCTGAGGATGTAAATCTTTATGGGAATGGAAAAGCCTTACCTTTCTCTTTCGAAAGGCTGATGGGTTTGAACAGCTGACCTTGCAGTTAGCATTCCAATTGACCAGGGCTCTGGTCTGCAGCTGTCAAGTTGGATCCTAATTCATGGTCTCACACATAAGAGTCCCAATGGGACCCATAGCATTTCATTGGCTAACTTTTCTATAGCATTTTCTTCCTAGTCTATTTTAATCTGGGAGATATATTGCATTTTTCCCCATAGCAGACACAAGCTTCCACTAATTGGTAGGTGACATGTGAGCTTGTGGTACATTGACTGGGAAGGACATATGGGTCTTCCACATGTCAGGTGAGAATTCATTCTCCTGGGGTCTGGTCTCTCTGAAACTCATTTCCCACAGAGCTTCTGGAGACCTCCCGCTTGTTTTCAGGCAACCCCGAAAACCCCTCTTTCCCGATTTCCTACTTAGATAGAGGTGGCATGCCTGGAATTCACGCGGAATGCCTCTGCCAAGGTCCCCTGGGTATTAACATTCTACCCACTCCAAGCTGTCTCCCATCTAATCTTAGTATCTCTCCTCTCATTAAATTTCTCCAGCACACATGTGGCCACTTCAATAGATCTTATCTTACACCATTTGCCTGCGTGTGTGGTCTGATTATTAATTCCTTTAAGGCAAGACCCACCGTTGAAGTCTAATTGCTCTCACACAGTGAGCCCCATTAGATTGGACTCCACCTAAGTGCTCATAAGAACTTGCCGACTGATCCAGTTAAGGACACAGAGACCAGAAGCTTGGTTGGCAAGAAGAAAGCGTTTGCATCTTGCCCAGCAGTAGACTCGGGGCCTACAATGACAATGCCCCTGCGGTCTCCCCACTCAGCTCGGCCTTTGGCCATTGCTCACCACTTTATCCAGATGGGCATCAGCGACCCGCAGCAACTCGAAAATGTAACCATCCCGGCGCTCTTTATTGATCAGGTCTAGAACTTTCCCAGCCACCGGCTCAGCTGCCTTGCAATCGGTGGGACTCAGGGCACCGGAGTGCGGCAGCGTGATTAAAAGCAGAGCTGCGACGAATCCCTTCATTTTGTTACAAGATGAAAACCATCCCTTACTGCAGTCTACCACAGTGGGGAAGCTCACGCAGACTTCCTGAAGCACACACACACACGCGCGCACACACAATTGGTTCAAACGAAATCTTTATACTTTTTTTGGTTGTGTAACTGGGATGCTTACCTTGACCCCTGGTTCACATGGCCGTTTACAGGCTGTAAATGATTAGTGAGGCCTAAGGACAGAGAGTTGAGACGTGGCTGTTGGTGGGTGGGTGGAACTGTGATCTGCCCAAACTTGGACTTTTCTAGTAGGAAGCGGATCCGACTTGGGTTCTTGACCACAAGCATTGCCTATGTTGGCGTGGGGGGAGGGTCTGTGGGGAGGACTTTTCCTCCATCTGCCGCCTCACTCAGTCCGATGGCCCCTCATCAGTTACCTCTTTCGATGACAGTGTGAAGGCTCTCGGTAGAACCCATTCTCTGTGGGAAGCCGCAAGTTGAACCATTGACATCTTAAACAGAACTGACTTCAGATGGAATACAGTGATGACATGCCGCCCCCTGTCTGCTGTGGAGTCAGATCTGAATTTCATTCTTGACCCTGACTCTCTTGCTCTGTGATGCTGTCTGATGCAGGGCAAGATGGAAAACTCTGATTCTCCACGGAGAATTCTCTCTCTGATCCTCCTTTGTAAAATAAGCATTAATCTCTTGGTTGGGTTGTGAGAAATGAAATAAGAAGGCATATAAGGAACATCCAGTGCAATTCTTGACACAGAGTCCTTGCTGCATTGGGGGCCCTCCTTGTCTCTCAGTTCCCTGCGACTGTTGACAGATGTCACAGGAATCAAGCAATCGACAGACTAACTCAGTGAGGGGTAGGAGGAGAGGTTCAGCATGGATGGAGCTAGGCAAAGCTGATTCACACTCAAGAAACCAAGAGAGCCCTATGGACCCAACGTCCTTACCAGCAGAATCAGACAGAACCAGAAAGAAGCAGCTCAGTGCCCTCCCCTTTGTCAATAAGTGGCGCAGTCACAGGAGCCAAATGTCCCTAGCTTCCTGATCTCTCCTCTATCAGAGGGGGCAGGAAGCATTTGTGAGGTTTGCGGTTCTCAAACTTAGCTTTATATTTAGACCCGCCAGAAACCCAAACTACGAACCAAGCCACACATGCTGTGGAGTCAAGAGTGGACACTGTGTGTGGTGTCGCCAATGGCTGGGAGAGTGTGCGCCTAGATCGCTAGGCCTTTCTGCAGAGCTGATGTTGGGTGCCTTTTGGTTAGCAGCTGAGAACGCTGTTTATACCACCCAGGAGCTTCAGAATGACCAAGGAGTTTTTTTACCTTCTAATATCGGGGCCTCCTCAGAGCAATTAAATCAGAACCCTAGGCATTGGCATGTTTCAAAGTTCCTTTTAGGGGACTCTACTGTGCAGTCAACCCTAACAGCTACACAGAAGCCAGACAGACACTGAATGGCGGATGGTACTGATAGCAGAAAATGAAAGGGAGTGAAGGGATGGGTATAAAGAATAGCCGCCCTCGCCCAGCACCCCAAATTGAGTTAGCGAGTGCTGGAAGCCAAAGCGGAGCCCTGGGAGTACTGTCAGGATGCAATGGACTGCTAACTGCAAGGTGGGCAGTTCAAAGCCATCAGTGCTCTGCCAGAGAAAGATAAGGTTCTCACAACCTCAAAAACCCTGTACTGGACTCCACCAGGGATACCAATTCAGTTATTTGGGGTGGGGGGGGGAAGTTCACACTTTACAGTGAGTTGGGGAATGAATAGGTGTAGAAATGGTGAGCATAGGACAGCTCACTCTTTCAAGAATTCAACGGTGAAGAGAGAAATGAGGGTGGCTTGAGGGAGACACATCGTCTAGGGTGCTTCCACACCCCCTTCCCCCGAGTATAATGAGTCTGAGAGAAAACCCTTAGGAAGTCCCCTGCATGGGCTTTGAATTGTTTGGCTCTGCTGCCAGGTACATTTTCGGTTGACTCCTCAGTTAATGACCCAGTTTCTCTGTGGGCGAGTTTACTAGGAATCGAAATGCCCATGAGAGGAGACTGGAGGGAGGCGACGTGCTTTGTCTCTGCTCTTTCCTGCTTTTGGTTTTCCTTTTTACAGTTTTATTGGAACATAGTCCACAAATCATACAATTCGATATCAAGAAATATACCATCATTACCACAAGCTAAACAATCAGTTTTAGAACATTTTCTTCTTTTGGGTTTATAGTTAAATCGCTTTTAAAATAAGTTGCATAATCACATTCCGTTCTAGTGCTCCTTACTCCCTCTCTCATATACATTGTTTGCTCCCCAAATCCCCTCCCCTTCCTTATCACCCACCCCTATCCCTACCTCCCCATGTAAACCCTTGCATCAGTTCTTATCGCTATGTCTCTTCTACTTCTGTGCTTCTCAAACTGGAAAACCCAACAGAAACAATAAAAAAGCAGCAATAAAATAAAGTGGTAAAGATAAAATAATAATCTATGCTCTTAGCCTAAATTCTAACACTAGCTGCTTCCCTGCCCCCACCTGGGCCCATGGATGGGTTGCTTCTGCTGGGTAGCGCCCCTTCCCAGCTCCAGCTCCCCGTATGCTTGGTCCACATTCCCTCTCCTGGATTTTCAGGCTCACGGTGCTACAGGCCTCCTACATCTGCTCTTCTCCAGATCCATCAGCCTCCCTCCTCATTGCCTTCAGCTGACCCTTTAGGAGTTCACTAAGAGCCCCGTCCTTCACCAAGAATGTTTTAATGAACCATCTAGTGCAGGTGTCCTCAAACTACATACTGCGGGCCACATGCGGCCCGCCGAAGACATTTATCCGGCCCCACCGGGTGTTTTTGCCCTGTTTGTTTTTTTACTTCAAAATAAGGTATGTGTAGTGTGCATAGGAATTTGTTCATAGTTTGGTTTTTTTTTTTAACTACAGTCTGGCCCTCCAACGGGTCTGAGGGACAGTGAACTGGCCCCCTGTTTTAAAAGTTTGAGGCCCCCTGACCCAGTGCAATCTGTTTCTTGCAGACCCTGAAGAGTCAGGCTGGAGGCCTTAACATGCTGCCCTGCTGCATCGTTTCCCCTGAAGAGGAGCAGATCCGAGCACTGGCCTGCTGCCCCTCTTCAGTAAATGATACCAAAGTCTGTGTGCCTTTCCCAAGAAGTCGCTGGAAGGAGAGTAGTTACCTCTGCAGAGTCCATGACAGATGAATTAGTTCCTTGAGTTAATTATTTTATTCACTCTGCAGAAGTCCATGGAAAAATAGATTTTAAAGAGAATAAGATCTTTCCATGTACTTTTTGAAGCCCCCTCATGTTTTCATGTGCCCAAACTACATCCATGTGTAGAATAGAGCACATGGAGTAAAGTTATGAAATGTTCTGAGTCATAATCAACTACTTGCAATGTGATGTCATTAGCCTGCATGTTCCCTACGAGTATGACCCTTAGACTCCCATTGGCATAGCATCATCCAGAAAAACAATGTGCTACTTTAGTGCGTAGCTACTGGGTCTTAAAAAACTTTTGCGTGATCATCTAAAGACATAACTATTACTCTCTTCTCATCCACAGTAAAGTAGAGTGAATAAAATAATTAACTCAAGGAACTAATTCATCTACATAAATAATTGACCGTGAGCACTCCCAGCCTTCACCAGCCTGTGAGCAGCTCAGGAGCACAGTAGAAGTTCCTAAAGCGAGTGGGAGAAAGATGTAAACTAAACTCACAATCTTAAAAAAAAGACCAGACTGACTGGTCTGATAGAGACTGATGGAACCCCTTAGACTATGGTCCTTGGACACCCTTCAAACCTGGAGGTCACCTTTCAGCCAAACGGTAGACAAGCCTATACCGTGAACAGTAAAACTCATCAGAAAGGTGCTCCTCAGAGCAATCAAGATAACAAGGGAAGCAGCTGCCCAGGAGCAGAGCTCCAAAGATCAGAAGGGACAGGACAGATGGAGGATGGGAATGGGGAGTCGAGGAGGAGGAGGTGGGAAGAGGAAGTGGAGGGTTGCAACTCCTGTCACAAAACACAGCGTGGATAAATTGTTGGATGGGAAATAAATTTGCTCCGTCAACTTTCACCCAATCCACAATAAAATATTTTGGAAAAGAATTTTCATGGGGAAAACGTCAAAACACACATACATGTAATGAGAAAAAAAATGGTGGATTGAATATCACCTGGATTCTAAGTTTTACTCTTAGCAAAACTACAAAAGGAAGGAGATATTTCCTAACTCTTGCGTGTCTGGTTTTCTGTCCAGGGTCCAACTACCATACCAAACCAAACTCACTGCCATCCGGTCAATTCTGACTCATGGAAACCCTGTAGTACAGGGTAGAATGGCCCGTGTGAGTTTCAGAGATAGTAATTCTTTACAGAAGTCGAAGGCCTCATTTTTATCCTGAGAACCAGCTTGTGATTTTGAACTGCTAACCTTTAGCTTAGCCCAACATGTAACCACTGTGTCCCCAGAGCTCCACGGGTTATCCTACAGGATACAGGAAACCATCTCCTCCTTCTACCTGCATCACATGAGTGCCTAGAACACAGAGATTGAAAACAAAAATTCCACCTTCAGTCTGAGAGCTGTGCAGGCACTGATTGCTATTGAAATTATTATGAAATAAGAGAGAGCAAAACTCCGTGTGGGGTAATTACATAATTTCATGTCAACTTGAAGATATATATCCAAGTGTAGGGGTGGAATCCAATCTGTCTATCAGGTCACAGACGTTGCTTCTCCAGGGACAGGAGTCTGATATGAGAACCTTTTTTTTTTTTTAATAAATCATTTTACTGGGAACTCTTACAGCCTTTATAACAATCCATACATCAATTGGATCAAGCACAAAATGCAGAGTCCCACTGGGAAAGCCCGGGCCTGGCTGCTATTGAGCTAAGCTGTTCTGTGTCTTTCTGAGGGGCTCATTCAAAGGGAGAGGGCGAAGTCTCCTGGCTGAAGGCTTAGGAAGCAGCACTAGTGTAAGAGGGGGTGGACATGGTCTAGATGTGGACAAACTTTATTTCAAGTTGCACACATTGCAGACAAGAGCCATGGTCCAGAGAAATTTAGTGACT